TTGCTTTCTATAATTTTGCCAGGCTAGATTAAAAAGTAGCTACTTCTTTCAGTGTATTGTTTTCCTCTAGCAACATTCAATAATGAAAAGGGTTTTTTTTTAAACTAAAAATATTTAAATTTAGAATAATTTTAATTTTAAAAGAATGGAGGTTTATGAAGAATGCCTGTTATAATACTTACGTCTGTGGAAGCTCGAAGCTGAATGCATATTCATGCCTTCCTGAATGAATAGTGTTGAAGCCTTCTTCGGAATTATCATCATCTTAAAACAAACAGAAAAAGAAAAAGCTTGACGTTAAACCTTTGCACACTCTTCACAGTGGCATAACTTTAAAGATACTCCTTTAACAATTAAGGCCACAAGCTTTGTAGTCTGAGAGGTCTTAATGCCAATTCTTACTTTGGTTATTTCCCCTCGGTGAAATAGAAATCCTGAGACTTCAGTTGCCTCATCTGTAAGATGGGGATAATTAACACTTCTACCCCAAAGGCAAGTATTTTAATGGTATATGAGCCAACTCTACAGGATCTGCATCCAATACAGTACATGCTCAACAAAAAGAGGAAGAGCTCAAATTTCACACTAAGATGTTATCTTGGTCTCCAATGGTTTATTTAAGCTTATTATGAGACATATAATAAAAACTGGGTAAACCTTTCAAGTCTGTCAGTTTTGATACAGATGAAATGAATGTTATAATTCTAAAACCATTAGAAAACTTTGTCAAATGTTGACGTTAAAAAGAAAAACGGAACAGTGATTTTAATGTCAGTTTCAAAGCTAAAAATAAAAATTCTTTATTGACCCTAAAATGATGACCACACTCAGTTTGTCCTAGCGACAGCTAAAAATGTGCATACATATATTAAAAAAACCCTTAAATAGCTTTAAGATCTTTTAAAGGTTGCCTGCTTACGGGGAAACATGTTCTACATCCTTGAAAAATGAACTCCAATTAGGTTGTTTCCAATTTCCAGATGAATGACCTTTCATTTTATAACCAATTTCTTTCGGCCAAAGAGCTTATTTTAAAAATTTCTCCATAATAAATATACTTAATGAAAATACGGGCGGGGATTCTGGATTCTTAAAATGACTTTTCTTAGCCTTCTAAATATTATAATTACATAAATGTCTTATTATTAACGTACTTTTTAGTGTAGGCACCATCATTTACCACGAGAGGAGACGAGACTGGTAAAATCATTTAACTCTCCCTCACCAAAAAGTATCGAAGGTACACAAAAAACGTGATGCTTCCCTTACATCAAAGGGAGAAAAGGAAAAAAGCGCGTCTATATGTGGATACTTTTATTCAAAACCCACGATGATTCCCTCATAGCTCAGAACTATTTTCCTCGTCTCCTGTGCAAATCCTCTGAAAGAATTTCAGCACTGAAAATTGGCTGGTGAGTTGGGGGCCATGTACATTCGTTCCCCTCGAAGGCGCCCAAAGTTTGCCTCCCTCTCCTTTTCTTCCAGTCTCTCTCCCTTTTTGTGCCAGCTCAGCAGTCTCATTGAGGCGAGCTGCGGCGGCCGCGCCGTGGTAAACAAGTGCCGGGCTGTCAATCAAGAACTAGACCGGAGCAGGAGAGGACCGGCCTAAACCGGCGCGAGCAGATCCCAGCCGGCCCGCCCGCGCGCCGCCGCCGCCCGCGCGACCCGCTATACATACGGCATACGTCGCGCGGCGCTCGCGCTCGCGTTCGCGCAGCCTACCCTGCTGGACTGGGGGCGGGGCGACCGCACAGCGGCGCTTCCGCTTTACACGCCCCAGCCGGTGACCGGTTCGATCTGGCTCGGGCCACCCTGACACCTTTACAGTTGCGGTGAGGGAAACTGGGGCGGGGTGGGGGGTGGGCAGGGCTGCATAGTCTCCGGGAAACAATGGGGAGGGGCCAGGGAATACTCGCCAAGGCCCCGACCCCAGCTTTCGTTGTCGGTGGCACTTTTCCCTCTTCTCCTGGCCAGCCTTTACGGTCTGTCCCTCAGGTCAAATCAAGGTAGCCGGTCTGGGGATTGCATAGGTCCACAACACGCTTTGTTTCAGCTCAGGGAATGAGCGTTTACAGAAGCCAGCTGACATCTTCCAGCCGAGAACAGGAAAACGGGGTCCTGCTAACCCTGCCTACCCAAGTTCCTTCAGAATAGAATTGTCAGCTGAAGTTACGCCCAGGGCCGTTCGGCACCTGTAAGGCCAGCAGGAGCTTCTCCCTTTCTACTCTGCTGAAACCCAAGATCGTTTTCTTCGGGGTCCCCAAGCAAGCCGAGGTGAGGGGCGACAACATTCCGTGACATGAACCACGGCGCCTCCACAAGCTCGGGGAGGGATGCGAGTACGGGCGGGGGCGGCCACTCTGGAGGGACCTTTACCGGCGCACGCCGGTTCCAAGCCTCGCCCCAACCGGCGCGAGCCCACTCTCCCCACCCGCCCGCGCCCAATCCAATCAGAGCCTGGCATCGCCTTAGCAACAGGCTAACAAACGCGGCTCCGCCTATCGCCGGTCGCCCGGGGCGGGGTCTCAGTTACCAGGCTAGTTTGAGAGGTCCCACTTTTAAGTCATTGAAACTATTCCAGCTAAGAGCTCGTCCGCGCCTTGCAGGGGTTGAGGGGCATCTCGCTGGGGTACGGGGTACATAGTTTTCTTTACCGTGAAATCATCGAGTAACTAATCAAACTGCGTTTGCCCCCATAAGTCGTTATTCTACTTTTATCCCACTGCAAACCTCAGCTCCTTAAAAACCTTTGTTTCTTAACCGTTTGATAAAAAGCTGCAATGTCCAGAAAGGTTCAAACACAAACTCGTGTGCCTGCTTCTCAACAAATACCAAAGCTGTCATTAGGCATTTACATTTAACATCAGTCTTACTGCTCAGAAGGATTAACTAGAAATTATTTCAGAATACAAATGACCTGTGTGTAACCGTGAAAACCCAACCAAAGAACTGATTTCATCTTAATCTATTAAAAAAAAATGAGTTAAATGCTGTAACTCCCAAGCATCCTTCATTTCGACACTTGCATTAGTTCAATTAGCACTTCCTCAAGGATGTATATTTTTTAATATTAAAAAAGGTAAAGATGTCCTGTACTTTTTCAAAATCGTCAACATTTGAACTAAATACCATGAAAAAGGAGAAGCATAAAATTACATAACCAGTTTTAACATTATATTCTTCTTGGGCTAGGAATTAAGTCATCGCCACCACCTGACGCGTGTAACCAATCTGCTGAGAGCAGAACAAGCGCCCCTCCTCACCACCCCCCAGAACTGGTCCGAAACAGGATTGAACCGCTTCTAACAAAGGGTGGAAACTTAGAAAAACAAGCTTAGACTCTCCTATATTTCCACAATGTAACCACTTAAACAATAGATTGGAAATCTTAGGACCCCTTCTCCCCTTGACAACCCTTCATCTTCCCTTTCTAACCAAAAATCAAATCCAATGTGCCGAATACTTTTCAATTCCATTTGACTGGCACCGGTTTCATTGAATGCACGTTCCAAAGTTAGGCATCATACTCGGAAAAGAAAATTACTGACCCGAAATGGCTTCTAAAACTGATTTGAAACCTATCATAATGATAGACACTATCCTTTAAAATAGAGAATGCTTGATGTAAATTTATAAAGGATCTGGAAGGAATAGGGAAAAAACACGTGGGGTGTTGATGCCATATGTCAAAATAAGCCACAGAAATCCTTTATCAAAGAACAACGATCAATTCTTTAAAATATTTTGCGTGTCAATACTAAAAATGAAAACCACCTATTTACCCACTTAAAAATGTTACTCCATTTCTTCACTGAAGCTTAGTTTTTTAAGATCTAAGGTTGCAGAGTACAAGGGGAAAAAAATCGAATACTGGACTGCAGATTTTAGCAATTCATTTGAAAACTTATTAGTAAAATTATTGAATGAGATTTAAGTAGAATTTACAAGTAAGATAGAAATGTATTCCAAGTGCGTATGGCACAGACCAAGCCGGGTATAGACAGAGGTAGTTGAATAAGTGCAGTTTGCAGTCACTTTGCAGATGCCTGCATGCATTACGCCTTAACACACGATGAATGTCAAGGAGAATCCCAATCTTCCAACTTTGCTAATCTTTATCAAACTGCTATGTGTTAGGCCAGGAGTAGAATTAACACGAATTCAGGAAAATTGAAAAGGTACTTTTCCAAAGAAAATCAAGGTCTAATGATTTCTGTATAATATAAAAACTTACCTCTTTCGTGTCCAATTAAGATATCTTTATGGTTGAAATATTCTACTTCTTCAGTGTAATTCTGTGTATAGGCAGTATTGGAGCCGGCGTTTCTTGACTCGGTCCAGCGTACTTTCGCATGTCCTCTTGCATGAATTTTAAGAGATTTTACTCTGATTTCCCCAGTAACTTCTAAATTCACCCTTCCTGAGACTGTATCCCCACTAGAATACACAGGGACATTGCTGTCATTAAGACAGTCAAAGCTTATTGTCAAACTCTTCACCTTTCCCAGCACCATGTTTATAACAAAATCTATAAAAATATAATGTAAGACAAAAAAAGTCAAGATCACATATAAAATGTGATCTTCACCTAACACTGATCGATGTCTTTGCCGTGCAAAAAGCTTGCAGGCAAGATCAGTGATTCTTTACAAATAGTTCATTGAGATTTCTTAAAAAGTCAGGGCAGCACAGAGGCTGCTGCTCCACGATTCTGCTAGTCTCAGTGGTCTCCTTACAAAGACGGGCGGCTGGAGGCTGCCAGCTCACTTTAAGAGCAGCTTTGTGAAAAACAACCCCAGTGCGCATGCGCACGCCGCGGCTGCTGTCCGCCCTCCCTGCGCGTCCCCTCCCGCGCCCGGCTTGCTCCCGCGGTCGCTCGCGGGTACAGTAGGTGTACAGCTAAGGGAAGAAGACACGGGCTGTCGGGAGGCTGAACCTGACTTCTCTTCATTGTGGGTTCCTATTGGTAGGCAGGCTACCGTAAACCCTCGACGTGCTATCTGGAGCCCCTTACCGAGCACACTCTAATAGATAATAAAAGAGTGGGGCACTGGGGGACAGGCGCCGGGTGGGGAGATGTTTGCAAAACCAAGTAGGGATAAACTGCTGAGTGACCAGACCGAAGCGAGCGTTACCGGCGCTGCAGGGTTTTGCCCACTACTTGGATGGAAGGAGGAAAAAGTGATGTGTGAAGAGAGATGGGGGAAGGGGAGAAACCGGTTGGGCAAGCGGCTGGTTGCCGAGCATAATCTAACGAATTTCAAAAGAAAACGTAATAAAAACTAGACAAGAAACAATGTTCGTAGACGAGCATTCTTAGCTTGGATTATTTAAAAGACCACTGCGTTGTAGGCAGAGTGGAAGGGAACTCAGTCGAGGCCAAAGGAACCTTACAAGAGAAGACCAGAAGGAGCAAGAAAGAGAGGCAACTATGATCAATAGTTGTTTTTTTTTTCTTTCTTCTTCTTTTTTTAATCAATAGGTTTTGCTTACTCCTCGACTGCTTTTTCTTCCATCTCTTAATTAGCAACGAAAAGCAACCAAGTTGTTTGCATGATGACGCCAGGGGGGGAAAAGGCCTGACCACTTCCTAGAAGGAAGAAAAGAGGCTTTTTAAAGACACCACCTACAGCTAGATTTGCAGGGTATGACATGATTACAACTCCTGTGTCCAGAGGATTAAAAATAGAGTTTGGCCTTAAAAAGTACCACTTTATAAGAGGCAACATGACATAGTGTTTTAACTGACCTCATGTTCACAACAGAATCGAAAATCTTTGTTAGAAATTAGTGAAGCCTGTAAGATGGTTTTTAAAAAGCATGATGTATATAAATAGAACTTAATTTTGTAAAGTTCTCATATTAATTTTTACAAGTCCAACGGTCTTAGACTGTTCAACATTGTAATCCTCTTAATCAAAGACAAGTAAATTTATATTGTGAACATTTTGGTAACAAATGGCAATGTTTTCATAAACTCACACTGGGATTCAAGGCATAACAGCATAAACTTTTCTAGATTTTTGCAATCAACAGAGCTGCTTCTAAGAGAAATGTAGATGGAAAAATATGAATCTGGAACTATATATTCATAATTAAATACACTGGAAGATTTTTGACCGTTCTCATTGGTTTACTGTTTTCTTGCTTTTTGGGGAAGAAACAGTTTCGTTGGATTTTAGTTGACAAGGTAGTTATCTTGGCCTCAGCATTATATATAAATATACAAATTATTTGGAGAGTTAATGAGCAGGCCATTTATCTCTAATAAAGTTTAGATGGCTATGCTTAAAACTGAATTTGTGTATCTGAGTGGGAAACATAGCCTTTTTTCTTTTTTTTCCCTCTTGGTTGACACCTGGTGGAAATTCATTCTGGTTGTTCAAGTACTTGGAATTTTGTACTAGCTTTGGTGACGGATACTACTTGGGTTTTTTTGCCACCTAGTGGTAAAATGGTGAATTTGCTAAAATGTCAGCTTCTCAGCTTTAGGGTCAAATGATACTTGTGAAGCATTCAAATGACATTGGGCAAGAAATGGATTTAAAAGCGCAGTACACAATGAGGCCTTCATTACTAAATTTGTTTTAAATACCTCAGGGCTCGTGAACAATGGCTAAATTGTTCAGAAGTTTAAGTAAAAATTTTCTTGTCGTAATATAACTTCTATCTGAAAAAATAAGAATCAGTTTTTTAAATGAACTAGAATTGCATTTAATCAGAAAGAACCCTAAGAGATTTACTTGTAGTTTGGAAAATTGTTTTACCACATTCAATGATTCATTCATGGGGCTATAGGGCATTATTCCTTCTCTTAGAAGCTTTTAGGATATTATAAATTACTGTCTTTATTACTTACTTTGCTATTTCTCTTTATTTTCTCTCTGTGTCTTCATAAACACTTCCTAAACACCTCTTAAACTAATTGACAAGTTGCCAGGAAATTCTTATCCCCTGTCACTTTTACTTAAGATTCTACTCATTTATCCTAATTATCACCTTTCTTTGATTTGGATTTGGTCATATAACTATTTAAGTGTCTAAACTTGAGTTTACTGGCTTCATTTTGTTTACTTTCTCCTATTTGTTCAAACTCTGGAAACACCAGAAACCAACGAACAACAAACAAACAACCCTGGCACCTTTAAATTCCTGTTTGTGTTTTCAGTTTTTTAAAAATTTATTTATGTAAGTAATTTCTACATCCAGTATGGGGCTCAAACTCACAACCAGAGATCAAGAGTCTCATGCTCTTCCAACTGAGCCAGCCAGATGTCCCTTTGTTTTTGTGTCTAAAAGGAAAAAAACACTTGGACTAAATGTTTTCTCTTGTGGCATTTGTTTTTTTTTTTTTAATTTTTTTTTTCAACATTTATTTATTTTTGGGACAGAGAGAGACAGAACATGAACAGGGGAGGGGCAGAGAGAGAGAGAGGGAGACACAGAATCGGAAACAGGCTCGAGGCTCTGAGCCATCAGCCCAGAGCCCGACGCGGGGCTCGAACGCACGGACCGCGAGATCGTGACCTGGCTGAAGTCGGACGCTTAACCGACTGCGCCACTCAGGCGCCCCTCTCTTGTGGCATTTGTAACCTCCCCTTTTCAAAACTCCTTGTCTAAATCTCTGCCTTTGAGATAACTTGAAATGTTGTACTTTAGGTGTTTTCTTGGTCTTCTGGACTTGTCTTACTGGGCCCTTACTGTATTTTGCATTAAGTTTAAGCTATTCATCTTTACCACTATAAGGCTCTTTCCTACTGCACTCCAGCCTACGTCTCGTATGCCTTCTCCTCCTACTCCTCTGCTGACTCTCTATACTCCTGTCAAGTGCATCTTCTGTCCCCTTTGTTAGCCTGTCTCGCTGTTGCCAATGTGCAGTTGCATGCTGTTTTCTGTGCCCAGAACAACATCTCACTGCTGTTAACTCCTTTCCCTTCTTCTAACCCCTCTACTCGACTCAGTTGGGCACAACTGAATAAAATTCCAAGTAGGCAGAATAACTAGCTCCCCCTTCCCTTTTTACAACTTCTTCAGAGCTTAAGTAGAAATCCCTCTTTCTGGTATTTGTTCCTTGGATTTTAAATTCAATGGCTGTTCCATCTTACTGTACAAAGGATTAAACTCAAGCTCAAGAACTCGATCTAAAACTGACAAATGATGATCACTATCAAGATATTTTGTATTCATGTGGTAAGTAAAAATTACTGCCAAGTCTGGAGATTTTTACATAATATGTCATAGTGCTCAATATTATTAGAAAAAAACACCAAGCCATCTCAACAGAAAGTTTTCATGTATGATTGTAAGAAAAACCACACCAGGAGCCAGACCTATTCTTAAAAAAAAAAAAAGAAATCCATGTTTAATCCTTATTTCAACTAACACTTGATTGTCTTACATAGTGTAGAACTAAGGGTGTTTGGTTTTTGTTTTCTTTTTGTTTTAATTTCATATTTCAGGATTTTGTGACTCTGACTTAACTCTTTAACATCCTCAAAATACAATGACTTTGGCGCACAGACTGGAGGCAAGATTTGCTATGTTATTAGCAAAATAAGTGAGTTTTTTATATTTGATAGTTAATCAGATGGTGTATTTATGTTCTTCATACTTAATAGACATTCAGATGTATTCTGAATTTCATCATAAATTTCAGTTCCAAATTTCTATTTCTGTTCTCCCTCCTCATTAAGATGTAATATGTGTTATGTGAACACCAGTTGATCTTTTATTTTTGATGTCTTTTTTTTTTAAAGTATGTTTTTTTTTAAAGGCTATTTTATTTATTTAGAGAGAGAAAGGGAAAGAGAGAGAGCGAGCATGAGCTGGGTAGGGACATAGGAAGAGAGAGAGAACCCCAAGCAGGCTCTGTGCTATGCAGGCTCTGCACTATCAGCACAAAGCCTAACTCAGGGCTCTATCTCACTAGCCATGAGACCTTGACCTGAACCAAAATCAGGAATCCAGTGCTTAACCAACTGAGCCACCCAGGTACCCCTTGATTTTTTAATTTACAGTAAAGTCATCCATAATTCTATCCACCCAGATATACCGCTGTTAACATTTTATTACATTTCCATCTAGATATACAACTAATAAAGAATTATTAATAATAAGCATTATTGCATTGCTGGTGAAGTAAAGACAATGATTCATATCAATTAGAATTCTCTGACAACAGATTTGATTAGTGGCTCCAAGGGAAAATCTCTTGAATGAATTTGTAACACTTAGGTCCTGCTAAATTAGATGACTTGGTAAAGTTTATTCATGTAGGCTTCAGTGGCATTGGGCCTATGGGGAGAATCAGAAATGTTAAGTTTCTTTTTTGAACTATTTTATGACTTTTGACCTGGCACAACTTTATGTAATGAATGTAAAAAAAAATCTAACTATAATAGCTGACATTTTCTGATGATTACTGAGTTTTAGCGGAAAGTATAAGTGAATGCAACAAGTTCTCAGTTTTTTTTTTTTACCTCAAATTCATATTTTGCTAAATGGAATTTCATATTCGATATCTCACTTAGAGAATATTGCCTTTCCAGTCATCTACATTTTTTTCTGTTGATGAAGAGGATCCTTATTATTGATGATTTTTAAAACCCGAAACTTATTATTTACTGTCACTATTTTTTCAATACTGTTTAATGGAAGCATTTTCCAAGGGTCTGTTATGTAAGGTTATTTTATTTATTGTTGTTTATTATTATGTTATCATACTTAAAAACTGTAAAAAGAATTATTTCTTCTCATTCATTTGAATCAGCTTAGTTTTCCTGTTACTATTTTTTCTGTTGTTGAGGACTTTTACTTGTTATCCCATTGAAGAAGTAGCCATGATGAAGGAAGAGTTTGTTGAGAAATGCTGTAAGGAGGAAAGGCAGTTTAAAAGTTTGCTGCATCCAGAATTCTAAGTGTTTCAAATGATCTTTTGTTTCAGAGTCAGGAAACAAGTTACATGATAGCTAAGCTTTGAAATCACACATTTAATCTGTGACTTAGTAAATTCACATGTGGCTTAATCAGGAATTGGTTTTATATTTTTTGTTTTTGTAACATGAACATTTTTCTTTTAGTTTATGAATAAGCTACTTAAATCAATGCATTTCAGTGGAAACTTGAGGCAACTGAAATTTTCTGCCCCAAATTGATATAAAATTGATATGTAATTGATATAGTCAGTTGATAATTGGTTTTTGTAGAGTGTATGAATTTCCAATTATTTTGCAGTGGAGAATCTGGTAGGACCTTAATGCTTTAATAGTTTAGACTTTAAAACATATATCTCTTTGAAACATACAACTCTTCAAAACTATTTGAAGAGTTTTGTGGATATGGGGTATACATGCTGTTGTGAAGATGCACAAAGCGTCTGAAGTGAGGAGCAGAATTAAATCATGAATAATCTACAAATTGGGGCACCTGGGTGGCTCAGGTCATGATCCCAGGGTAGTTGGATTGAGCCCTGTGTGAAGCTCCATGCTTAGCGTGGAGCCTGCTTGGGATTCTCTCTCTCTGAACCTCTCCTCTGCTCCTGCTCTCATGCTCTCTCTCTTTCTCTCTCTCTCAAGTAAAAAAAAAAATAAGTGAGTAATTTACAAGTTGAAATAATATAGTGTATCTTTGTCTTTAGAAAGTTGGAGTAATGCTTTAGTAAAGTCAAAATAATTTTGTAACGTACGGGTTAAAGACAAAATTAGGAAGCTAGAGTAGATTGAATTTTACCTACTAATTTTAATGTCCAAATCATCTTTTACACTCTTACAGATAAGGAATACTTTATTTCTGCCAGTGGGCCCCTTGAATGGGAGAAGCCTTTTAACTCTAATTTTTCATTTATTTTTGTCTTTTGATATTATTTCAATCTGTTTTGGTGAAACTTGGCAGAAGCTCTAGAAAGATAAACATATAAGAAGATACTGAACTTAGCCTGACCTCTCCCCTTAGGCTTTTCTGCAAATGAAGAGGAAGGAGAGAAGAACCTTTTAGAAAGAGTCGCTTGATAAATAAGTGGCCAATGGCAGGGGAATGATTGTCAAATAGAGTCATGATCCTAAAAAGGATAAGGTGAGAAGAACAAATGGTCATTCTCTTACTGTTTCTAGCACAAGCCTTTCTCATTGTCATGAACTTCAGTGATTTTGTATTCTAATCACATTATTTTTTTCTGTCTCTGCAGTGATCACTCTAAATGAAATGAAGTGTTGGTTGCTGGCTTGGAGACAGCAGTGGCCAATAGTTAAGAGGACAAAGCCAATTAAGTGAACTCTTGAAAAATCACCAAAACATTGGTAAGTGAACTCTTGAAAAATCACCAAATCTTCAGAGAGTAGTGTGAGGGTGAAGGGCAAGCGATCTGTCTCTGGGAGGATATGGAGACAGAGAAGGATGACAGGAGAGTTACGGTCTTCTCAAGACATTTCTCAGTGGTCAGGCTCACATTCAAAGAGTGGACATGGCACAGGCATGACTAAAGAAAGTCAGGGAGACTTTTCATAGGATCAGGAAGCCTGTCTGATAACTGAAAATGGGGCAGGGGGGCAGGCTAGGTGGGATGAAACAAGTTTTTCTTTTAGAGGTATATAGGACATACATACATTGGCCAGGAAATCCAGAAACCACCAGCTTGTTTGCTAGGTGAGGGGTGTGTGTGAGAGAGAGAAAGAGATCACCGTTAAAACAATCAGAATACTAGCATATTTTATGGCAGCCGCTGTGCTTTCTGCTCATTATCTTATTTGGTCGTCTTAACAGTACTATTAGGTAAATACTATTGTATCCATACTATAAACAAGGAAACCAGCTTGGAATAATGAAGTAACTTGTCCATACTCCCACAACTAGTAACAGATGGTACTAGGATTTGAATCAATTCTCTTAATCAGTAGGCCATGCTGAAAGCCAGGCAGTAGACTTATTTATCAGTAAGCCTCCAAGAAGGCTTCTGTAACCATCCTCTCCTCCCTAGTTTGGATTATATGTTCCTCTTCTTTGTTCACAACACCTTTTAATCCTTATTTTTGAGACAATGCAAGAAACAGAGTGCAAGCAGCGGAGGGGCAGAGAGAGAGAGAGACACAGAATCTGAAGTGGGCTCCAGGCTCTGAGCTGTCAGCCCAGAGCCCGACGTGGGGCTCAAACTCATGAACCGTGAGATCATGACCTGAGCTGAAGTCTGACGCTTAACCTATTGAGCCACTCAGGCGCCCCTCACAACACCTTTTAAAAACTTTGTTTCTTAACAATATTTTGTGTGGTTTATTTTACTGTCTCTTCCATAATACTCCATGCTCTCACTTTTTTTTTAGTTTTTTTTTCTTAATGTTTCTCTATTTCTAAGAGAGAGAGAGAGAGAGAGAGAGAGAGAGAGGGAAAGTGCGAGTGGGGGAGGGCAGAGCGAGAGGGAGACAAATCCGAAGCAGGCTCCAGGCTCTGAGCTGTCAGCACAGAGCCTGATATGGGACTTGAAGTCATGAACTGTGAGATCATGACCTGAGCTGAAGTCGGAGGCTTAATCTGCTCAGCCATCCAGGCGCCCCTCAGGGGTACTCTTATCTAGGGCTCAAGTGTTAATCATTTTTATATCTGCAGTACTTAGCATAGTGCCTGGCACATAATACACACTTAATAAATTGTGTACTGATATGTGGTAAGTTGATAAAGGAATGTTATCTTTAAGCAATTTTCCATTGAAAGATTGTCGAATCTTATGGGAAGTTTTTCTAGATACCCACATGAAACCACATGAGGCTGATGAATCAAAAATAAGATATAAGTTCAGGGGCAGCTGGGTAGCTCGGTAGGTTGAGCGATCGACTTTGCCTCAGGTCATGATCTCACAGCTAATGAATTTGAGCTCTGTGTTGGGCTCTGTGCTGATGGCTCAGAGCCTGGAGCCCGCTTTGGATTCTATATCTCCCCCTCTCTCTGCCCCTCCCCCACTCTCACTCTGTGTCTCTATCTCAAAATAAATAAACATTAAAAAAAATTTAAAAATTAAAAGAAAATAAGATATAAGGTCAAACCATCATTTTGTAAGTATGTGCTGATTGCCTCAAGGTCGTCATCATGATGTATTTATTGTCCAATCCCAGTTGAAGTAAACTGCCTTTACTAAAGTAAAGATTACTGCCTTTATTAAAGTTTTATGGTTTTAAAGTAATAATGATATTAAAATACGTATATCACTTTTCAGCATTTTTCTACTTTTATTGGATACATTATTTACAATTAATGAACAAAGAATCTTCCAGCTTGCTTTTGATTGCTTAGGAAAAATGCTGTTGTGTGCCATAGCAGAGAGCAAAATACCTGACTATAAGAATTTGGGAAACTTAAATGAAACTTGCTTATCTATATTTTTAATATAGTTTCATATCTGCCATTTGATAGAAGTATTTTGAACAGATTTGCAAGTATGTCATAGAAATCAAAGATCTTGATTTTGTAATATTTTATTTGCTATATATATATTGAGAATATGTGTAGGTGATACCTATCTTAGAAATTAAAATCACTAAAAACATTTCTGAAGACAAACACTTTTCATTTATAAGTTTGGAAATTTGACAGTCAGGTATTTGAAAATCTGGTCATTGAAAAAATATATTGGGGCACCTGGGTGGCTCAGTCGGTTAAGCATCCGACTTAGGCTCAGGTCATGATCTCATGGCCATGAGTTTGAGCCCTGCGTCGGGCTCTGTGCTGACAGCTCAGAGCCTGGAGCCTGCTTCGGATTCTGTGTCTCCCTCTCTGTCTCTGCTCCTCCCCTGTTCATGCTCTGTCTCTCTCTGTCTTAAAAATAAACATTAAAAAAAGAAGAAAATATTAAAAATGAAAATATATATTATTTAAAAATTATTTTGCATATATTTTCAAATTTTTTTTTATTTTTAAGAACAGTGAAATACTTAGATTGAAAACACTACAATATTTGCTGTGGAGAAACAGAACTTTGTGGATTTATGAATGGAAATGAGATATAACGTTCTGGATTCTTACAAGAGAGCAGAAAGTATGAGCAATGGTAAGTGCTGTGGATTACATTTTTTTTAAAGTTTTTATCCAAATACCAGTTAACAGAGTGTAATATTAGTTTCAGGTGTATGTTACAGTGATTCAAGACTTCCACATAACACTAGTTATGTACTCATCACAAATGCCCTCCTTAATCCGCATCACCTATTTAACTCCTCGCCCTACCCACCTCCCACGTGGGTTCCATCAGTGTGTTCTCTGTGGTGAAGAGTCTGTTTCTTGGTTTGCCTTTCTCTTTTTCTCACCGTTGCTTGATTGTTTTGTTTCTTAAATGGCTGTGGATTAAATTTATGTGTATAAATTTAACTTCTGAATGGTGAATTAATTTTCCTTTAGTAATTGAAAGAAAAGCTCTGAGGATGTGTTTAATGTATTATCTTGCATATTTTTTAAAATTTAGTTTTATTTATTTTGAGAGAGAGACAGAGAAAGCAGGCGGAAGAGGGGCAGAGAGAGAGGGAGACAGAGAATCCCAAGCAGGCTCTGTAGTGTCAGTACGGAACCCGATTCTGGGGTTGATGTGGCTCGAACCCACAAACCGTGAGATCATGACCTGAGCTGAAGCCAAGAGTTGTACGGTTAACTGACAGAGCCACCCAGGCGCCCCGCTATCTTGCATATTTTACTAAACAAAGGAGATCAATGATAAAATTGTACAATTAACAAAGGTACAACATGATAGTTAAATTTAGAGAAAGAGTGTGGTCTGTGAGTAGAAATTACAATCATGTAATTAATTTTATTTTATTTATTTATTTATTTAAAAAAATTTTTTTTTTCAACGTTTATTTATTTTTGGGACAGAGAGAGACAGAGCATGAACGGGGGAGGGGCAGAGAGAGAGGGAGACACAGAATCGGAAACAGGCTCCAGGCTCCGAGCCATCGGCCCAGAGCCCGACGCGGGGCTCGAACTCACGGACCGTGAGATCGTGACCTGGCTGAAGTCGGACGCTTAACCGACTGCGCCACCCAGGCGCCCCAATTTTAAATTTTCATCTCTGGCAGCCAGAACTTTTAGTTTAAAATTTATAAAAGAAACACAATATCAATTATGGGACGCAAAAGAGCTTTCAATGTATGGTATACAATGTTCAATCTGTCAATGTAGGGCCCATTAATTAATTGAATCATTACTCTTTTTTCAATAGGGCTTTTTCTCCCAAACATTGTTTAGTTATTAAGAAACAACTATTAAAATGGTAGAAACACTGTTTTCTACAAATTTATGTATTTGGCCTTCACTGTTTTATAATATTTCAAAAGCATATTTTCTTATAATACTATATTTACCATACAGTGTATGTGTTCAGTTTCCTGTGAGGACTTACATGTGCTTACTCACTAGGACAGAGAGGAAAGAAATATTCCATGCCTGAGCAGTGCTAATAGATTCTGGTATTATCTCATTTCTCACAAGATAACTTTCTGTTAGAACATACCTTTTCTTTTTTTTTTTTTTTAAGTTTATTTATTTATTAAGAGAGAGAGACAGAGACAGCATGAGTGTGGGAGGGGCAGAGAGAGAAAGGGAGAGAGAGAATCCCAAGCTGGCTCTGCACTGCCAGAACAGAACCCGATTTAGGGCTTGAACTCATGAAACTGTGAGATCATGACCTGAGCTGAAACCAAGAGTCAGACGCTTAACCAACTGAGCCACCCAGGCACCCCAGAACATACCTTTTTTTAAAGAAGCAAATAAATAAAATGAGAAATAACTCTATCATGAAGAGACTTGTTAGATTTATGTTAAGAAGAAACAGTCTATCTGTGTGATAAGTAGTGTACATAAAAAAATCAAAAGATTGGTTATGAAAAGAAAACAATTTTTTTTTTCAAAGTTTATTTATTTTTGGGACAGAGAGAGACAGAGCATGAACGGGGGAGGGGCAGAGAGAGAGGGAGACACAGAATCGGAAACAGGCTCCAGGCTCTGAGCCATCAGCCCAGAGCTCGACGCGGGGCTCGAACTCACGGACCGCGAGATCGTGACCTGGTTGAAGTCGGACGCTTAACTGACTGCGCCACCCAGGTGCCCCAAGAAAACAATTTTAAGGAGCTCTAGAGGGAAAAAATGCTTTTGACTCTTTACATAATTCTTAAAACATAAAATGGTGAGTATGGTGGGCTAAGCCTTTACATGCTTTATATCATTTGATCTTAATAATAATGCAATTATCCTCATTTTAAAGATGGGGAAACTGAGGCTTAGAAAGATCTGGTAACTTGCTCAAGGTCACACCCCCAAGTGGTAGAGTTACCTTTACAGAATTTACAATTTAAGGAGAAATATAAGCAAATAGTTAAATAAGGATATGTGTGCAATAGATATATGTTGCTAACAGGACTTGCATAGTATTAGGAAATGTCTAGCAAAGGTACTGAATCCTGATCCAGTGCTCAGGCAGAGCCTTCCCAGAAGAGTTAAGATTTACTAGAAATGAGAGAGAAGTCAGGATCAATCTAGAGAAGTAAACAGAGACCAAATTGTCAGAACCTTATAGCTTTCCAGAACATATGATTCATTGTCCTAGTTGAGACATTACTGAGAGTGCAAGAGAGGCCAATAATAACCGTGTTTGTACAATAGAAATAAAAATCATCCTGGGCAAACCAAAATATATGGCAGTCTAAGGAGTTTGGTTTTCATTCTAGAAGCAATAAGGAATATTGAAGAGTTTTTAAGAGGAATAACATGAACAGATTTTTGTTTTAGAATAAGTCTGATCTTGGAAAATAGATTAGAGGAGGCTTGTAGATTATTTTAAGAGGCTGTTTTTGGTAATACAGTAGAGTAGGATGGTGGCCAGAATTCCATAGTATTAGAGAGACAAAAGGGAAATGGATTAAGTTCAAGAGATATTTAGGATGTAGAATCACCAGAACTTGGTACATGATTAGATCTGGGTTCAGAGGGAGACACATTAATTGTCTGTATATTAGTGAAGGGAAGGGAAGTCAAGGATGACCCTGGATTTCTGGACTAGGCAACTTGCTGACTGAATGGTGGAGCCATTTGCTGAGATGAGGAACGTGCGGAGGAGTGAAGATGATGATGAATTTACTTTTGTTCAGTTTTATTTTTGTTCATTTTTAATTTTTCTGATTTTTAAAATTTTGAAACAAGAAATGAATAAACTGAGGGTTGATGGGAGGGGTGGGAGGGAGGGGAAAGTAAATGATGGGCATTGAGGAGGGCACCTGTTGGGATGAGCGTTGGGTGTTGTATGGAAACCAATTTGACAATAAATTTCAAATAAAAAAAAAAAAAAAGAAAAAAAACTTGCAGGCATGTACACAACCATTATTTCCCCCCCAGAACCATTTGAAAGTAATTTGCCAGTATGATACTCTACCACTCCTGACTACTTTACTAGGTATTTTCTACCAATAGGGACATGTGCCTACATAGCCATAATACAACTGTGAAAATCAAGTCATGGGTTATTACCATCTAATCCTCAAATCCCAGTCATGTTTGCCACTTGTCTCAATACTGTCCTTTAGAATGGGAGGCTGTAGTTAAAAGTCACCTGTTGCATAAAGTTGTAATACTTCTTTAGTGTCTTTCAGTTGAGAGCAGCAATAGTCTTTTCTATGTCTTTAGTGACCTTGACATTTTAAAGATTACTGACCAGTTATTTTATGGAATGTACCTCCGGGCCTTTTCCAACTGGAGAGAGTTAGATACCAACATCAATTGGCATCTATTGTATGAAAAAATTAACTTCTTTCAATACATCTAGAATGGTGTTAATTATGTACTGTTCTTGAGATGGTTGAGGAAATAGTGTGTTCTGTGATACAATTGAAAAAGACTGAATTAATAGATTTTGACAGGAGTACCTCAAAGGTAATGCTGTTTTCTCCTTAGTGAATCCTATCAGATGACACACAATTTTGATTTGTCCCGTTACTAATGGTCACTTGATTAAGAATGTGTCTTTCAGGATTCTCAACTATTTAGTTTTTTAAAATTTTTCCTCCTTTGGTAATTAGTTAAGTACTTTGTAAGGAAGTTCTTTGAGACTTTGCAAATAGCCCATTTCTTATGAAACTTTCAATTTATTCATTTATTTATTTATAGTACTGGTGATTAATATGGGTCTTAATTCTTTATTATCATTTATTTTGATGTTCAAGCTGTTCCCAGTTTAGCTAATGGAAGCCCCTTGAAGGTGGTTTATGTATTCTATTGACGTGTCTCAAGTCACTTTTTGACTTCTTCCTTTCTGGCATAAGATAGAATAAGGTCACCTTGTACTTTCCCTACCCTGGTCCTGGAATTAGCCGTTTTAGCCTCAAGTCTTTTTAGTTGAAAATAACATTTAGAAAACAAAGTCTGGACACTAGGTGTGCTCTTTGTTTTTGGAGTGTGGTGCTTCAAAGTTTCTCAGTTAGAGAGAGCTAAGATATAGACACATGTATATATCAATGTATGTCCACACATTTGCATTTCATCTATCCATCTATCTATTAAACCATGAATGCATACTGATATTATTAGTTTTAATCTATCTCTTCCGGATTTATTCTATTTTTCTCCCTTTTCATATATGTAACCCCCTTCCTTGCTGCTGAGAAACCTGGTTCCCAGTGGTCTGATTATTTGCCCAATCCTTCTGTATGTAATCAGTCTCTTCTTTCTACTGCCATCCCCTCTCCTCTGTAGATGCACTGTTCCCCTGTGCAGGCTCTGCCATCGACACTGTGCCCCTCTAAATGGACAAATCCTCATCCTACTCAGGCTTGGCCTCTCTACACTAGACTGATCTTTGTGTGAGGACATCTTTACCCTCTATGAGGTGGGCTCTGACTCCCATGCTGTTCCTACTCCCCCCAGATTCTTCCACAAGCAGGGCAGATATGCAACAATTTCAATTTAGCTGTCAATGAAAAAGATAGGGTGGTAGCTAAAAGGTTATTCATTCAGGAAAGACCTGTTTTTGATAAGATGCCAATCTGAGGGCAAGTTTAAAGATATAGAAGA